GGGGGTTGTTGGTGTGGTTGATAGTAACAGTTTGGAAGTCGTATATAGCTAGGGTACTTCTTGGAAGAGAGACAAAAGAAAAAGAAGAAAGAAATAAAAGCTGAAAACCCTAAGCATGAACTAATATAAGTATATCTATCTACTACTCTTTTTTTTTTTTTTTTTGTATTGGATGGATCCAATGAGGACAGCGACTGTGGTCACTATTTCACTCATTTTTTTATTCATGAAAAATAGGAGTGAGTCTCAGTCTCACGGGAATTAAGACTATAGCTAGAGACCAAGTCTTTTTAGAGGCAAGAGATTCATCATCCCACCTTTTTCTCAGTACATGATGAAAACTACAATTCAAAAACAAGTTTCACAGAAACAGATTCAGAAAAACACTGCTCGTTTTCCTGTTAGTTGATTTCATCAAACACCATCCATCCTTCACCTACTATACCCACTGTGCTTTCCCAAGAACCTATAGAGACTAACACTAACAAGTTGTTTGGATTACCAGCAAGACAGGCTTTTACACGAAAAGCTTTTTACAGCATATGATATGAGATTGAGACTCGAGAGAGTTCCTGTGTATGTATGTAATGTATATATGCTTTGAACTCAAGCGTAATATCTTGTTTCTGTGTCTCTGATTGTGACATTTTGCCAATAATTAACACAACTCCCTCACTGTGACTGACACCACTCCTGTGCCTTTATTTTAGTGAAATTCTCTACTGAGGTTAATTAAAGAAGAGTTTACACCAGGAAAACTGATTTTTTAACGTTAGTGAAGTAAATTAACTCGGTGGATGGTTTCGCCAACTCAGGTAGTAATTAGTAAAGGACACTAAACAAAATAATATTAAAATCATTGGGGGTAATTAACAAGGTAGTTAAAATAACAAGGAGAAAGTAAAAAGGTGGTCCATGATCAAGAAGAGGAAAATTAAATTAAAGTGGAAAACGATTAAAGGCAGGGAATATATAGGGTAAGTAGGACTATAAGCGTCTAACCCGTAGAGTTAGGCTTTAGAATCAAGTAACGTTATCGCTCATTTATTCTTAATCATAAACAATGACAGAGAATGTCAACTCCGCATGCTCACTGCACATGCCTATAGAGTTGCACTGAATACACAATAAGAGTAGGTCTATAGTAGTAGTCATACATTACTATGCATGCTCCACCACCGACTTATTCAGGACTAAAGATTTTGGAAAGACTACCCATGTTTTTGGTAGCTTAGGTCTTAATAAACAACACATGTTCATCATCATTCATCACCACCTAGAAATTATTAATTAAACAAAAGCCCTTCAAATTAATCTCAGAAATTTAACTAAACAGTAGACCTTCAGTCACCTAGCCAGAAGAGTCCAAGTGAGGCTACATAGCCAGAGACCATAACTAGATATTATAAATATTGCAGGGTATCCTCATGACTCAAGACTCAAGACTCAAGAGGCATAAAACCCTAATCTTGAAACATGATTTCACAAGCTACCTCCTCCTTGTCCTCCCCCATCATTCATATCCTCAGGAGGGGTATCAGTCCATGGAAGAGAATAAGGGAAAGGATCG